TCTGTCTTGCTATCAGACACATTGCAACTAAGAGTTGCCTTCTGGGAGAGAGTGGCTTTCACCTCCCTCTGGACTGACTCCTTGTTGGAGAAGGCAGCTGCGGCTTGAGTTTCTGAGGGGGAAAAAAAAAAAACTAGTTTACTAAACTTTTGTAACGATAACATTATTAAGAGTCTACGTTCTGTGAAAGCGTCGTACCTTTTATCTTGACCTGGAATGTGACTTTATCAGCTGCTGTCTCACAGGAGTAATGTCCCTCATCACTTTTCTTGGCACTCTTGATGACGACCTTCCTTTGAGTCCCTTTGGAGACGAAGGTAGTTCTTTGGTCCTCGGTGATCTCCACCTGATCTTTTCTCCACACAACGACAGCGCTGGCAGGAGATACCTCGCAGCTCAGCTCAAGATCTCCTTTAAGGGACGACGACATTCCCATGGTACCTCTGGCTTTGTTTAGGAACTTGGCAGGTTCATCTTAGACAAAAATAAGATTGACAAGAAAATGTAAGTCCTGCAATACTGATTTTTAATTGTCTATGAATCTATAATTTCAATATTTCTATTTTAATTTGTTTCGTAAATGACTACATGATGACACACAGCTCTGTACTCTATTTTAAGAATCAAAGCATCACAATGTATGTGTTATTTTTTACACATTGAGCCAAGTTCCCCTTTACAAATCCTGTTTGTGCTAAGATTATATTAGTGAGATGTAGCAAAACTTGTTTCACAGGTCAACAACTCGGGCACATTAGCAAATAATCCGCTGCAAACAGTCAGCTGTCACTGCTATGAAGCTGTACTTGAAAGCTGTACTTCGTAGCTACGACTCTGATCAGCGTACCTTTAAGAGTGAGTTGCATGGACAGCTTGTCATCAGCCAAAACACACTCATAAACGCCCACATCTTCCTCTGTGACGTTGTGGACCATCAGGATCCTCTTGCGCTCATTCATCAGATATTCATACTTCTTGCCCATTTTTATCTCCCGCCCATTCTTCATCCAAGCCACCTGAAGAAATAAATACAGAACACAGACTTGATAAAGGGACTGTTAGGAATACAACTGCACTTCAATATTCTCCTCAAGTAACTACCATTATACTTTGCATTTCTAAATAAGTCCAAAGCTGTCTCTATTGCAGACTATTCTGGGTAACAGCAGCATATGGTTGATGTTAAAGGGTAAAAGTGGTATGATGATGGCATTCTCCACAGCAGCAGCAAAACAGAAACAAAGTCAGAGTAATGCTAAAATAAATATCCTTCCAGTTTGCTTGTGCAATCTATGAAGGTCAGTTAAAAAGCAGTTGGGAGTCTAATACGTCATCAAAAGTTGCTTGCGTGACAAGCATTACACTCGCATTAGAACTGCATTACACTTATCCGTGCCTGCATACTTTAAGATCTATAAATAGAACACGTGTGAGCAAACGGCAAAGGATGTAAACGACATGTGTTTCCATCACAAACCTGCGTATCGTAATCTGACACCTCAGCAGTCAGCTGAGCAGTGGCCTGTGCGCTGCAAGTCACCACCTCTAGATGATCCGACTTGTTGGTAAACCTGACGGGACGGGCTGTAAAGACAGTTGTTTAGTAAGAAAAGATACTGGTTTGCCTCTCACAAAATGAAGAGAAAACATTTAGCTTTAAAACAGAAAATAAAAGCACACGACCATATTGATGTGACTTAGAGCTTTTTTTCCAGTGTGTACCTTTCACAGACATGATGCAACTGCTCTGTGAACCTCCGCCCACAAACTTGACTTCAGCTCCATTCATTTCCACGGTCACGACACGGATGAGCAGCGTGTGGATGTTCTTCGACCTGGTGATGAGGTAATCAGCTCCACTGCGCAGAAGGCGGCCATTTAGTGACCAGAAGCCTGAGCAAACAGCAGACAGCTCCACAGAAATAGAGAACTCCTCTCCAGAGACGGCACTGCTGTTCACCAGGCCTTTTGTGATTTCGGCACTGGGTTCTGAAGGAAGAGTGATAAGGCATTAAAAAAGAGGGCGTATGATAACAAAACGTAGCTGGGAATGACAAATATCAGAGACATCAGTCCTTACCGAGGTAAAAGCTTCCGGGTACCTCCAGGTACGGACTCTGGCCAAAGTCATTTGTGGCAGAGATACGGAATTGGTAGGTCGCTTCCTCGGTGAAGTTGAAGACAGTAATCTCTGTTGAAATAATGTTTTCTCCAGCATTGCACCTCTGCCACGTCTGAGTTCCAATCTTCCTCTTCTCCACGATGTAGCCTTTGATGGGTACGGGGCGATCGCTGTCAGGAGGAGACCACTGAATGGAGATGGATGAGTCAGTCTTGTTCTGCACCACAGCATCGACTGGGGGATCGGGAGGATGCTTCCGTGCAGCTGAAGTAGAGAGAAAGAGGGATGATGAGGCTTGTATTGTGTCACAGTTCACATCTTTGTCCTGTTTTGTTTTTATTGTTTCCTTCCGGCCTCCTGTCACACCCCACCCACACACCAGATGTCCCTGGACTTTCCCTCTGTTCCTGGTCACCTGACTGGCCCTCCCACCTTACCTGTTCCCAATTTAACCATCAGCCCCAGACAGCACCATGGTATGCATTCATACCATCTAGTCCAGGGGTGTCGAAC